CCTATCTTCAGAAAGGCAGATCGCCGTGAGATGACGATTATTATCCAGCCATTTTCCTAACGAACTGACAAGGAGGCCACGTGCACCTGGAGAGACCTCGAAGAGAGGCTGCTAATTGCCGCCCACCATTCACCCAAGGACGTATGACTAACAGACTCAAATGACAATCAACGAGACAGTTGGAGAGGAGGAAGATTCCAAAGACAGCTTGCCCACCAAATAAGACTGACGGGCGAATAAAGACATTCACTCTGAGCAGAAGAAAAACAAGTATATTCAGATTACTTAAAGGAATTTCTTTTTAATATAAAGTTGGGAGGCTAAAAATACTTTGCATCTCAGTTGAATAGCTGGCACTAGCATATGCGTATGTCTAGAAATTGAAGCCTTGACTTAAAAAAAATTTTTTTTTAAGATTAGGATTCTAAAATGACATACAAACTGAATGATACATCAAACAGTTACAAGTTCACTTTATAAAATATTAAGATATTTTTATTTTTGAGATAGTCTCACACTGTCACCCAGGCTGGAGTGCAGTGGCATGATCTCTGCTCATTGCAACCTCTGCCTCCCAGGTTCAAGTGATTGTTGTGCCTCAGCCTCCTGAGTAACTGAGATTACAGGTACATACCACCACGCCCAGCCAATTTTTGTATTTTTAGTAGAGATGGGGTTTTGCCATGTCGCCCAGTTGCCCAGGCAGGTCTCAAACTCCTGGCCTCAAGTGATCTGCCTGCATTGGCCTCCCAAATTGCTGGGATTATAGGCATGAACCACTGTGCCTGGCCTAATATTAAGATTCTTTTATTGACTCTTGACTACTTCCTTTTTCTGCCCCCACCATGCATATGCACGTACCTAAATTTGTTGTAATTATTTCTGAATGCCTGGCAATTTCTAGAAGATCCTTTTAAAACTTTAACTCACTGGGTGACCTTGATCAAAGTCACTTGCTTCCTTAACTGTAATGGCGATAATTTGAAGAGACTACCTGGAGGTTGCATCTATATTAATCATTCAATGACCCCTAGTGAGGAAGGGTTTGGTGTGTTGGCTCCTGTTCCTCCTGGGACCTAAAGACCATAGAAGAGGCAGGAGGAGCTGATAAACAAACTGTGTCGAGAGAGATAGACATTGGGTTGTTCCTCACCATTCTCTGCATTCAGGTAATGGACAGCAAAGTGTCTGACCCTGTAGTGCCCCCTTTCACCATCACGACCAGAAGTGCAATTCCACTGGAATCAGGCTTATCTTACATTTCTGCAAAAGCTGTGATTGAGGAATTTTTTTTTTTTTTAGACAGAGTCTTGCTCTGTCACCAGGCTGGAGTGCAGCAGCGTGATCTTGGCTTACTGCAAACTCTGACTACCTGGTTCAAGCAGTTATCCTGCCCCAGCCTCCTGAATAGCTGGGATTACAGACATGCACCACTATACCCAGCTAATTTTTATATTTTTAGTAGAGACGGGGTTTCACCATGTTGGCCAGGATGGTCTTTATCTCCTGACCTCGTGATCCCGCTGCCTGAGCCTCCCAAAGTGCTGGGATTACAGGTGTGAGCCACTGCACCCAGCCAAGGATTTTTAATATTGTACTTTATACTTGGAATCCAGGTCACAAAAAGTAAAATAGCTTTAAAGTGCTCCAATAGGATAGATTGAAATGTGATCTTGGCAAGCATGATTAAGAAGATGAAAAGATTCTTTCATCTTGATAAAACTTGACCCTAAAATGTAGAAGCAAAAGCCATAATCAATTTCAGACAGGTAGCAAATCTTATTCTTTAAGGTGATGTTAAAAAAATAAAATAAGTTCATTATTTAAATCCATGAGCAATGAATATTCATTGAAAAAGCATTAGGAAACAGAGAATAAAAATTGAAGCCAACAGCAAGGTTGCTAAGAGCTGTTCTGTATTATAAAACACTTGGGCTGGAAAAATCAGCAACAATGCCTTATTGCTGTGTGCTCTTGGTGAAGTCACTTAGTATTTCTAAATATTACTTTTCTTACCTGTAAGGAGACTATAAAATCTATATTACAGAACTGTTGTGAGGACTAAATTTAATAACACAGTTAAGGCAATTATACAATTACTGAAAAATAGCCAGTGCTCTATAGAAGGTAATTGTTTCTGTTATTATATTTTATTATTACTCACCATAATCTCACTGATAACTTTGGTTCAACCATGTTTGCTAAGATCGTTATGAAGTTATTTCAAAGCCCTTAAGGTTCCAATATCTGTAAAGCTTTTGTACCCATGGGTTATTTTCCATTGTTCTAACTATTGAGGTAACAAATGAGATTGATTGTTTCCAGTCCCTTGGGAGGCAGAATTAACTGCTACACTATTTGGAAGGAGTAGGCACTACAAGAGTGAACAACAGATTCGTCTTGCCAACTGGTACATCGATATCATGGCTGGACACACAATCCATCTGATAGGATATAAGAAGTCTATTATATCATAATCTTGGCTTGTTTTAAAATAGTTATCATATACAACATGTCATTTGATCTTATAACATCCCCTCTTTTTCCAAACTCTTCCAAAGATTCCATACTATGTGCAAAAAAAGCTTCTAGCTCTGCAGGATGGTCAAGCCTCATAATGACCTAATTTTAACTTTCTCTTCCCTTCACACTCCCTAGGTTCCTGATAGAGTTATCTTCTTTTGGGTTCTCCAAACGTTGTAGGCTTTCTCATATTCCTTACTTTGCTGATATTATTTTCATTCCTTAGAGTATATTTTCTCAACCTTCCATCTTGCTGACAAAGCCAGCCCAGGCTCAACTCCAGTGCTTCTTTTTTATAATGTCTTACCTGCCTTCCATACTCAATTCATTAACCAGTCTGACCTCTTTTAGGGGCTTTATTATGTCCTACTTCTTTTATAGTATGTTTTTTCTGTATTTGTCTCAGTTCTTTTATGAACTGTGGGGTCCTTGTGGGCAGGAAGTCTCTCTGAGAATGTCAGCATCTCTCAAAGAGTATTGCTTACAAAAAGAAAACTCTTAAACATGCTTAACAAATTAATTTTATTTGATACTTGTGGCAAATTTGTTACTGGATCAGGAAGGCATGACTAACCTTTAGCAGACGAAGAAACTAAGGCTTGAAGTGGGTGAAAGGAATGTGTCATAAACTCCATTATCTGATAAGGCAGACCAAAACATGATCTTTAGATTCCTAATCTAGAAGTCTTCCTACTCCATAACACCACTCTTATTATAGCTCTGTGCTATAATAGGACAGGTTGAGTTACCAAATGAGTGTAAGCACTTATCCCTAAGCTATCTGCTACTTACTTGAGAACAAAGGACTATGACATGCAGAGTAGTGCTTGGGAAGGGGCTAGTCTCATCTTAAACCAGCAAATCACAATTAAGAATTAAAACATAACTGGACAAAGTTAATGTCATTTCAGTATGTCTACATGCCACAGAGTTACCCTTTATAGCAATTTTAAGTAATATTTATTTAGGTCTTTATTTATTTTTGCCTTATCTCCTCAAACAGAAAGCCACTTGAGGGCAAGGGCTATATTTTATACAAATAATACATCCAAAAATGTGAAATAAGTAGGCTTCATGTATCTTGTGCACCTCCTTTGTGTGGTTATGTATATTGATAGGAAATAACAATATTTGACAAGAAAATAACTTTGGTAAAAGCAAATTTAGGTTAGCATACTGGGATGGGAGTAAAAACTTGACTGGCTATAAGGAAGACAGGAACAATGCATTGAAATACTTAGCAAAAAATACTAAACCTGCCTTGCAAATGGAAGAATACATTTTAATGTCCTAATGAACAGAAAGTCTTCTTCATTCACTTATTTGGTATAAATGAGTTCTGTCTAGAGAAGAAAGAAAATAACATAAAATATGATACCCTTGTCCTCTCCCCAGGATTCCTCACCACTTCTTCACTTCACAAATACCTGATCTGTGGAATTGCACAGTGCCCCGTGCTTAGAAGAGCCCAGTGTTTGGTTTAATGCTGAATTCTTAATTTTTGAACAAAGAACTCACATTTTCATTTGGTACTGGGTCATGAAAACTATGTAGCCAATTTCACTTACCACCTTTCAAGTCTGTAAGATGTCTTGCAATCAAGTTTCTCCTAAACTAACAGGGTTATGGGGAATGTCTTGCTTTCTCTCTTAGCCCAGTGACAGGAAACACTTTATTGAAGAGATTTTAAGAAGAAAGGACTGTGAAATCATACAAAGTTCAACAGTCTCCCTGCAAGTTGATGTCTGGAAAGAATTATATGAGTAGGAATACTGGAAACTGCAAATCCAGACTTCCTGTAACATTTTTAAAAGCATTCATGAGAGTACAGTAAAAGATCAGCACTTAGGCATTGTGGGAATCATCTCATGATATTCGCGTTGGCCCAGAATCTTATTAGAGTAATGAGTCTGGCTTTAGCTCTTTATCTTGAAAACTGAGAAATCTTAAAAGAAAGGGACAGAAATTAAAACAGTAGGAAATGGAATCGATTGAAAATGTTAAAGACCTTGTGTTAAATTGTCTAAAGTTCACAGCTTCCATCAAGTATATAAAGAAATAGCATTTGAGCAATTCTTTTTCTAATATTGCAAAGGAGATTCTTCTTGAATGGGATGGGCCCAAGATTGTGGGAAATTCGAGTGCACTGTATAGCAAGAAGAACATCTTTTTTCAACATAGGGTAGGCAAAGCCATCAGAAAGAAAGTCCAATATGAGTTTATTGATTGAAAAGGTATGATAAGCAGTATGCCATGAGTGAGAAATAGATACAGGTCAAGATGTCCATTTAGAATGTACATTTAAAAATATTATCATTATTAGTTATTGAGAAGAAAACCAATAGGATAAGTGAGGTTAATCATGGGAGAAGAGAATGACTAACATGAGAAGAAGGGAGGCAAAGAGAAGCAAAAGGAATTAGTTACTAACATTCAATTGATTACCTGAAAATACACTGAAATCTCCTAAGATAGGAATGGAATGTTAACATAACGTTGAAAATTCTGAAAGCCTTTCTCTTTCTGCTATGTATGCTTCTCTGCTTCACAGCTACCTGTCATTTTCCTGTGTACCTTTCTCCAAAGATTCCCTTCACATTCTATCAGGAAAGTTGGTGGATGAGGCTGGTGGTAGCAGTAATCGGAGGTTTCATAGGCAAATCCAGGCTAACAAAGGCACATCTTCTTTGGAGATTCACCTCCAAGGACAACAGACAGACTTAATCCCTTTTTTTGGGGGGCGGGTATCTACTTGGGTAAACTGAAGAGACTTAGATAACCATCTTAAAAAGATATATTTTTTTTCCTAGAAAATTTAACTGTTTACATTTGGAAGAGGGATGGGGGGAAGAGAGAAAGAAGTGGGGGAGGGAAAAAAGGAGGGAAAGATGGAGGTAAGGAAAAAGGGATAGAGACAAAGACAGAGAAGGGATGGGTCAGAGGGAAAAGAGGCAGAAGAAGGAGGGGGAGAGAGAGAAAAAAAGGAACAGAAAAAAAGAGAGAAATGCCATAATACATCAAAAAGTTAATTTACTTCTACAAGTCAATTTATAACTAGATAAGCATTGTTTTTAAGAGGAAATGAACAGACATTATCCATTGTGTCTTTTCTTTCCTTCTCTGAACTGTATTAACTCCCCTCTTCCTTCACGTAAAAGCAGTAATTTAGCATGCCAACAAACATACGTAACCAAAGCATTCTTTTGAACATTATGCTTATAAATTATCTGGTGATAAATAAGATACAAAGGGAATGGCCTATGAGAGGAATAAGAGATATGAAATGGATGATGATTAAATGAAAGCCTAAAACTGAAAGAATGTTTAAAATATAAAATGTAAGTTGCAGAGTAAATAAAAAAAATAAAATACAGGAAATAGTGTAATAATGTAATCACGAAGGGAAATAAAGAAGGTTAATTGGGATGAGGTACTAGGGAATAAATAAGAGATTTATTCCTATGCTTGTGTTATATGCTTTCTTTGTTGGATATATAAATATAAAACAGAATTTCTAAAAGCATAGGGAACTTCATGAATCCTAAATCAGATCAATAATTTACTAAATTTGATTAGATGCAACCACTGAATAAGTCATACCAATTCTTGGTTCTGTGTTCCAAACTTAGTAGGAGTAAAAAATTGCTGGTAATGTAGTTCTCACCTCTCAAGAGGCAGTTTCCACCTATTTGACATCACCTGAATCCAAGCTAAGAGTAGAAATGATATAAGTAGTTGAAAGTCAAAGTACACGCTTTATTCTTTGCCGCTGTAATACAGTTTGGAAATGTATCTATGAAGGCACTAAAGCCGAAAAATCAGCTCATATTGAAAACACAGAGTGTAAAAAACACAATTGTCAACTGTTTATCTATATGAAGTGATTTTCATGGGCTTTTCCCCTGAAAAATGTCACTGTACATGTTAAACAAGTGTTCAAAGAGATTTACTATGAATTATTCCATGAAATGTCCTATATTGTTTTAGACAGGTTCCTTTCATTGGTGGGGGTGGGAGGGTGCAGTATACAATGCTACCTTGACTGATTATATTAACCACAAAGCATAGCAACAAAATAAAACAAAACTTTTGATGTTTGCAGATTTGGGATGATTGCTTAGCGCACAAAGATTTCTCTAGTAGTCATGTCTAGGCAACCCCTCCCTTCTTTTCGGGAATTATATTCCCTTCCTCCTAGATTTAGACACATGTGGTCAGGCACGGGGGCTCACACCTGTAATCTCAGCACTTTGGGAGGCCGAGGTGGGCGGATCACGAGGTCAAGAAATAGAGACCATCCTGGCCAACATAGTGAAACCCCGTCTCTACCAAAAAGACAAAAATTAGCCGGGCATGGTGGCACTCGCCTGTGGTCCTAGCTACTCAGGAGGCTGAGGCGGAAGAATTGCTTGAACCCAGGAGGCGGAAGTTGCAATGAGCCGAGATTGCGCCACTGCTCTCCAGCCTGAGGACAGAGCAAGACTCAGTCTAAAAAAAAAAAAAAAAAAAAAAAACAGACACATGTGCCAGATGTGAAGTGTCCTTTTCTTATGACTGCACTTCTCCAGCAATGAGGTGGGAACCTGACTCTACTCATTTCAATGCGCTTAATCCTAGGACTCTCCAGTAATTATACCTCCACACAGCATCCCTGACCTTCAGGGAACGTTTCAGAGTTTAAGAAACAAATTATCCAATTAAATGTCCTTCCCAGGTTTTTAACCCTTTGTTGGAGGAAGATAATCTCTCTTCTCTGTTTAAATACTGTGACTGTGTGAACCTGGAGATGCTGGAAGCATGTTTATATTCTTGTGGAAATGTTACTCAGAGATAATGAAGCAAATCAGAAAGAGAAAGAATGCTCAAAAAGTTAAACATGGGATTACCATATGGTCCAGCAATTCTACTCTCAGGCATATATCCAAAACAATTGAAAGCAGGGACTCAAATAGGTATGTACACCAATGATCACAGCAGCATTATTCACAATAACCAAAAGGAAGAAACAACCCAAAAGTCCTTCAATAGATAAATGTATAAAGAAAATGTGGGCCAACCGGGTCCCCTCTGCACAGCAACATGGCAGCTTCTCTTTCTCAGCATGGTGACTGGCTTTCCCTCAGGAACTGTTGCCACAGGCAGACCACGCACTGGCAGCCTGAGACCACCATGCAGTTATGTTGCTTTTTATTAAGAGGTGTCAGGGAAAGCCTCAACTGCAAAAATGGTATATCCCAGTATTGGACAAAGAGAAGGAAAAGATGACAGAACTTGTTCAAACCACTTTAGCACATAAACCTAAAATGTATAGATGTTTGAAGATTGTTTACAAAAGATATGCCAATCTGTATTTTTGCTATGCTATTGAGAATCAGGGCAATGAACTAACTACCCTGGAAACAATTCATCATTACATGGAATTACTTGACAAGTATTTTGAAAGTGTGTGTGAACTTGATATCATCTTTAATTTTGGAAAGGTTTATTTTATTTTGGATGAATTTCTTTTGGGAGGGGAAGTTCAGCAAACATCCAAGAAAAATGTCTTTAAGGCAATTGCACAGGCTGATCTACTGCAGGAGGAAGCTTAAACCCCATACAGAGTTCTCGAAAAAATTGGACTTGCATAACCCTCCTCCTTGTTGATGACTTCTTGTGACATTTCACACACTTAGATGACCACTGTCTTCACATCCATGTTAGCTAATGGTGTAAAATGATGTCTTGTTAGTCTTATTGTTTTTCTAAGCCACTTCATTCAAGCCTATACAATTTTCTAAGAAGGAACTTTGGTTAATCAAATGATAAGTTAAAGGACTGAAATATGAATGGAACCGAAAAATCTGACTTTTGTGGATATTTTACAGTTTATAGGTCAGTTTCTCTTAATCTGATTATGTGCACATGTGAAAACGACGCATCTGTATACATGTAAAATGAAGCAACCAGGCAAAATACATTTATTAACTACTGTATTTGACAAAGGAAATTCTTAAACTATAATGTAAAACCTCATTTTATAAAACCAAAGACTATTGAACATTTCAGTGTACATAAGAGTAAAAGGAATTGGCATGTCACCTATTGAATAAATGGAAACTTAACCTTGTTGAAAATTTAGAAAGCAGATTTATGCCAAAGACTCCTACTGAAGCTATACACCTTTAAAAAAGTGGGGGGCGAGTAGGGGGAGAATATAGATTATTTTAAATGACTAAATTGGAATGATGCTTTTTACACTAAAAATTATTTCTTAGGCATTCTGAACCTGGAATGAAAAATGGGATTGTTTTATGATAGCAAGCAAGCAATTTTTAAGATGAAGGCACATTTGACTCGAAATGAATTTTTTGTGCTCATAATCATTTAGTTGGATTGTTTTTGATGCCCCAAAATAAGGTAGAAATGTTAATTTGCCAGAGATTGTTTATAACAGTATCACACAGAAAACATGCTGCTCTCTTCACAAAGTATTGTGTGTAAAGTCAACATATGAAGTATAATATTCCTTCTGTGGTGCTTATTAAAGCCAAATTTGTTTTGCTTCCCTATTTCTTCCCTCCATGTAAAAGTGCTATAAACTTCACAGTGGCTTCTTTTCTTTCCATGGCACTGCCTAGTTAACAGAAGTCTTACAAAAATTTTAAATGAACCCTTTCTTTTCTTTCTTTCTTTCTTTCTTTCTTTCTTTCTTTCTTTCTTTCTTTCTTTTTTTTTTTTTTTTTTGGAAATGGAGTTTTGTTCTTATTGCCCAGGCTGGAGTGCAGTGACTCATTCTGGGATCAATGCAACTTCCACCTCTCAGATTCTAGCAATTCTCCTGACTCAGCCTCCCAAGTAGCTGGGATTCCTGGGATAACAGGCACCTGCCACCACACCCGGCTAATTATTTTTGTGTTTTTAGTAGAGACACGGTTTCACCAGGTGGTCTCAAACTCCTGACCTCACCTTTCATATAAAGAAGTGAGAGTTAAATGAAGTAAAAGGGCATTAGCTGGCCCTACATTTTTTACAGCTATATAATTTTCCAGCATCACTTTTCTAAGTACTTGTAAGTATGTAGACATGTCTTCATGATTTATACTTTCACTTGTATATGCTGGGATAGATTAAGCTTTGTTATGACAATGACCAATATTCAGGCCATGTGAGCACTGTCTTATTGCATCGCCAATTAATTGTAATCAATGTTGAATGTACACAGACACAAAAGTAAAATGTGGAATATACCTACAATGGAATAGCATTCAGCCATAAAAAGTTAAACTTTTATACATATGATAACATAGATGAAGCTTTAAAACACTATGCTAAGTAAAATAAGCCAGACACAAAAGAACAAATATTTTATGATTTCACTTATATGATGTACCTTGCATATATAATTTATAGATATAGAAAGTAAAATAATAGTAACCAGGGGTTGGGAGTAGGGAGGGATAAGGAGTTATTTTTAATGAGTACAGTGTTTCTGTTTGGGATGATACAAAAGGTCTGGAAATGGTTAGTTGTGAAGGTTGCAAAATATTGTGAACATAATACCATCAGGGCTAAATGCCCCAATCAAAATTGGATAAAAAGCCAAAATCCATTGGTGTGCTGTATCCAGGAAACCTATCTCACATGCAAGGATACACAAAGGCTCAAAATAAAGGAATGAAGGAAGATTTACCAAGCAAATGGAGAGAAAAAAAAAAAAAAAGCAAGAGTTGCAATTCTTGTATCTGATAAAATTGACTTTAAAGCAACAAAGATCAAAAGAGACAAAGAAGGACATTACATAATGGTAAAGAATCAGTGCAACAAGAGCAGCTAACAATCCTACATACATATGCACCCAATACAGGAGCACCCAGATACATAAACAAGTTCTTAATGACTTACAAAGAGACTTAGACTCCCACACAGTAATAGTGGGAGACTTTAACACCCCATTGTCAAAACCAGACAGATCAATGAGACAGAAAACTAACAAGGACATCCAGGACTTGAACTCACACCTGGACCAAGCAAAGCTAATAGACATTTACAGAACTCTCCACCCCAAATCCACAGAATATACATTCTTCTGAGCACCACATCACACCTACTCTAAAACTGACCACATAATTGGAAGTAAATCACTCCTCAGCAAATGCAAAAGAGCAGAAATCATAACAAACAGTTTCTTAGACCACAGTGAAATCAAGTTAGAACTCAGAATTCAGAAACTACCTCAGAACTACACAGCTTCCTGGAAACTGAACAACTTGCTCTTGAATGTTGACTGGACAAACAATCAAATGAAGGCAGAAATAAAGATGTCCTTCAAAACCAACAAGAACAAAGACACAATGTACCAGAATCTCTGGGACACATTTAAAGCAGTGTCTAGAGGAAATTTTATAGCAATAAATGCCCACATGGGAAGCAAGGAAAGATCTAAAATAGATATCCTATCATCAAAATGGCAAGAGCTAGAGGAGCAAGACTTAAAAACTCAAAACCTAGCAGAAGACAAGAAATAACTTAGATCATAGCAGAACTGAAGGAGATAGAGACACAAAAAACTATTCAAACAATCAATAAACCCAGGAGCTGGTTTTTCAAAAAGATCAACATAATAGACCATTAGCCAGATTAATAAAAAAGAAAAGAGAGAATAACCAAATTGATGCAATAAAAAACGATAAAGGGGATATCACCACAGATTCCACAGAAATACAAACCATCATCAGATATTATTACAAACAACTCTATATACATAAACTAGTAAACCTGGAAGAAATGGATAACTTCCTGGACACTTGCATCCTCCCAAGCCTAAACCAGGAAAAAGTCGAAACCCTGAATAGACAAATAACAAGGGCAGAAGTTGAGGCAGCAATTAACAGCCTACCAACCAAAAAAAGCCTAGGTCCAGATGGGTTCACAGCCAAATTCTACCAGATATACAAAGAGGAGCTGCTACCATTCTTTCTGTAAGTATTCCAAACAATACAAAAAGAGGGAATCCTTCCCAAATCATTTTATGAGACCAACTTCATCCTGATACCAAAACCCAGCAGACTCAGCAAGAAAAGAAAACTTCAGGCCAATATCCATGATGAACACAGATGCAAAAATCTTCAATGAAACACAGGCAAACTGATTGCAACAGCACATCAAAAAGCTTATCCACCATGATCAAGTAGGCTTCATTATGGGGATGCAAGGCTGGTTCAACATAGGCAAGTCTATAAACGTAATTCACAACGTAAACAGAACCAAAGACAAAAACCACATGATTATCTCAATTGATGTAGAGAAGGCCTTTGACAAAATTCAACAGCCCTTTATGCTAAAAACCCTCAATAAACTAGGTATTGATGGAACGTATCTCAAAATAATAAAAGCTATTTATGACATACCCACAGCCATTATCATACTGACTGGGCAAAAACTGGAAGCATTCCCTTTGAAATCTGGCACTAGACAAGGATGCCCTCTCTCACCACTCCTATTCAATATAGTATTAGAAGTTCTAGGCAGAGCAATCAGGCAAGAAAAAGAAACAAATAGTATTCAAATAGGAAAGGAGGAAGTCAAATTGTCTCTATTTGCAGATGACATGATTGTATATTTAGAAGACCCAATTGTCTTTGCCCAAAATCTCCTCAAACTGATAAGCAACTTCAGCAAAGTCTCAGGATACAAAATCAATGTGCAAAAATCACAAGCATTCCTATACGCCAATAATAGACTTAAAGAGAGCCAAATCAAGAATGAACTGCCATTCACAATTGCTACAAAGAGAATAAAATACCTAGGAATACAGCTAACAAGGAACGTAAAGAACCTCTTCAAGGAGAACTACAAACCATTGCTCAACAAAATAAGAGAGAACACAAACAGATGGAGAAACACTCCATGCTCATGGTTAGGAACAATCAACATCATGAAAATGGCCATACTGCCCAAAGTAATTTACAGATTCAATGCTATCCTCATCAAGCTACCAATGACCTTCTTCACAGAACTGGAAAAAAACACCTTAAGCTTCATATGGAACCAAAAGAGAGCCTGCATAGCCAAGTCAATTCTAAGCAAAAAGAATAAAGCCAGGGGCATCACACTACCCGACTTCAAACTATACTACAAGTCTACAGTAATCAAAACAGCATGGTACTGGCACCAAAACAGAGATATAGACCAATGGAACAGAACAGACACCTCAGAGGCAACACCACACATCTACAACCATCTGATCTTTGACAAACCTGACAAAAACAAGCAATGGGGAAAGGATTCCTGTTTAATAAATGGTATTGGGAAAACTGGCTAACCATGAGCAGAAAGCAGAAACTGGACCTCTTTCTGACACCTTACACTAAAATTAACTCCAGGTGGATTAAAGACTTAAACATAAGACCTAACACCATCACAACCCTAGAAGAAAATCTAGGCAAAACCATTCAGGACATAGGCGTAGGCAAGGACTTCATGACCAAAACACCAAAAGCATTGGCAACAAAAGCCAAAATAGACAAATGGGACCTAATCAAACTCAATAGCTTCTGCACGGCAAAAGAAACAATCATTAGAGTGAATCGGCAACCAACAAAATGGGAAAAAATTTTTGCAATCTACCCATCTGACAAAGGGCTAATATCCAAAATCTACAAAGAACTAAAACAGATATACAAGAAAAGAACAAACAAACCCATTCAAAAGTGGGCAA